CAGCATTATGTTCTATATATACATCCAATAATGTTGAGTGATATGCAGATTTATGAACCGCGGATGGGAATCAAACACGCAATTCACGCTTTCTGCGGGCGCACGCTACCAATTCTACCACCAAGAATTCTGTTCTGCAATTGTTTTTTCTGCGATACAAAGTATCGATCTGCTTGACTGGGTTCAATGTCGATATGTGCTTAACAGGCTAAAGTGCTGACGGCTGCTTGCTGAAAGATCGATACCTTGTATCGCGGGAAGAGTGATAGCAGAACAGGAGCCCCGCTACTGCAATAGGTTAATAAGTGCCGTGAAAAAGGTGAAATGCGGGCTTGTTTCCCGTCTGAGGCTCAGAATTTTGTATATCACTCAACATTATAGCATACCAAATTATTATATCACGCTATTGCTAGAAGGGCGGTTGACTAAGAAATTCCTGAGATAATCTCCATTTTTAATGAAGAGCTTAGTAGAAGTTAATCATTTAAACGCGAAAGTGTTCGACTACCTCTTGTCCAGCATTTTATTAGCATTATATCAACACAGGTAGACGCCGTGGCCGAGTTGTTGTGATGCTCGTCGTAGCGCGCGTGGAGATGAACCCCCCCCCCCCAACACTCTTCAGCAGTCAACAGCGAACGCACCAGCCAGGCTGTCCTCGAGATCGCAAGGAGACCTGCTCACCCAGTATTCTATGACGTTCAAGAAGAAGACAAAAAAGCGATTGGATGCTAGAAGTACTGGAATCCACAAGGTGAAAAAATGAACACTGTAAAGACGGATCAATAAGGGGTCAAGTACGTGAAAACAGCAGAGCTAAGTGAAGAACACTTTGATACTTTATTGATCCGTCTTCGCAGTGTTTTTTTCACTGTGCAAATCCCAATTCTTCTAGCAATCAACCGCTTTTTCGTTTTATTCTTGAAAGTTGTAGATTAGTGGTTGAGCGAGTCTACTTGCAATCTCCAGAATAGCCTGGTTGTGGCGTTCCATAAAGCATAGTTTTCGAATGCTGAAGAAGGTTGGGGGGAAGGGGGGGGGGGTTGGAACTCGGCTCCACGCGCGTCGCGACGAGCATCACTACCACTCGCCCTCGGCGCCCCCTAAATATAAAATGTAAAAGCAATAACAGAAAAAAGGACAAGCTACTAACCTCGTACGAATCCATGCGCAGACTTGGAAAAACACTCATACATCATCCACAAAATGATGCTAATGACATAAACCAATAGAATGTACTCAAGGGAGACGACCACCAAACAAGGAAGGCAGTCACCAAGGAAAAAACGACCGATAAAGGACTCAAATGAAAAAACCTGAAAACGGAAAGTATCGTCTGAATGGACTAGGGGAATCATGGATTTCATAGAAAAGAGACACTTTTGACTTTATGAGACTAGCCTCTAAAGTGAGTATGATTGATGCGATAAGCCAAGGCGTAACTGACGAGTTCAGCCGATATAACCTAAAGAAAAAAAGCGATGAAAACTGAGAAACTGAGGGAAAAAAGAGACAATATCCCAACCTCTTCACAGCGCTATTCACCCTCTTTGAATTTTTTCGTGATTTCGATGAAAAACTCATTGAATCTTCCATCGTCGTTCTTTGCCACCAAACGCTATTTCTGCCGTAATTACCACACACACTGCTGCTATCTGAAATTAGACACACACCATGACAATACGCCTTTTACCAGCCACAAGCAATCGACTGCACAACACAGCCCATCGGGTGATTCTGTCGCTTTGCGCCTCGTCTTAATATCTCGGCCTCGGTTGCTCTATGTAGGGGATATCTCCGCGCGGGAACTGACTGAAGCGAAAGGCATCGTGAAACTGAGGAGGCTAAAAGGCCGACACGCGTGCCTAGCACTGTATAAGTACCGCAACAGAGCTCTTTCAAAAGGCCAGAAATATGTGATACGATTATACCGTCTGTTTCGAGTGTTCTCTTGGGACGATGCTTTTTTTCAATGAAAGGATAAAGGATAAAGCTCTCGTCGTTGATCAATCCCTGAGGGATGCGCCAGCATTTGTTTTCAATTTCTAAAACTTCGTTTGAGGTGATTGAATGCATATTTGGCCTTTACAACGACTCGGGGTGGCCTCCCGCTTAACCGAGTCAGTGCTCCTTATCCTCCCAGACAAGTCTGAGACCTATCTGGTACCAATTTACCAAACCCGGAGTGATGGATGGCTTGGTGAGCCATGAGCGCGAGATCGAACCATTGACCTCGTGTGCGACGCAAGGCACCTCTAACCACTGCGCCACAAGCGCTCTCTAAAATTCAATATATCTCATAATTATTATTTGAGCACATTAAATTAAATTGTTATTATAATATTACTATATTATTATTCGAACGCGGTCTTGAGAAAACACTCGAGAGAAACATTATAGCGTCTTAAAAATATCAGCTAGGAACAATCGAGTGTGCAACACTGCCGATCTAGTGATTTTTCACTTGACAGCAATTGTCCAAATCGTTCGCCGTCGCCTACTCTCAATGGGATGACTGGAGCGCTTCGAGCGGATAGGCTTAGAACGAAGGACTCTGTTCGACTGACGAGGTCGTCAAGGCCGAAACACGTGCATCGCGCTGGACAACAGCCCATTAAAAGACCACAATATGCCAGCTCAAATAATAATTATGAGATATGATAGGATTGAATGGAATCCTCTTTATTTGATCGCTTATAGCGGTGGTATGATGTTATAAATATATACCCACTGATGAGGAGCGATGTGCAAATCTTTCGCGTCAGGCGGGACTAGAACCCGCACCTCACTCTTTCCGGTGACGTCCATTTTGGCACATCGTTCTTTCTACGCTACAGCGCATTCCCGGAAAGAATGAGGTGCGGGTTCGAGTCCCGCTGACGCGAAAGTTTTGCACATCGCTCTACATCAATGGGTGTACGTTATAAGATTATCGTGAAGTCATCTCGGTAGCCGAAATCTCAACAGAAAAAACTTTATCGTCAGAAAAAACCAGATATTGACTTAATGAAAACATAAATTTGAAACGAGTTAGTAGACGAGCCAGGGTAGTTCAAATATCGGTGCAAGTCCGCAATTGCAGAATGACGAGCCCGCCGTTCGCCATACTCTGACCACCACCACCTCATTGCTCTGCCATTTCTTTTGATTTTCAGCTATTATTAGTAATTTTTGTAACTTGAAATCCCTGGAGACCCTAGGTAAGCCCTTGGCGGGGTTCCCTCAGGTCGTCACCATATTCCAACACTCGCCGGCCCTTGTGCATCAGAGGGAGATTACCACCTTGCGATCAGTAGCTACCAAGACAACGGTCATTCCTGGGCCGATTTACGATTAGCTGGGATTTCCGGGTGGAAAGTCGGACTTCTTGTCAACTTGGGTGATCCTGCAGGGAGGTTGAACCCCGCCGTGTTTCGCAGTCCAGCACCGGGGAACACCTCCCAGCCACGATGAGGCGGTATTAATGCTTATTTGGAAGGTGATCGGAGCGCATGTGGCGCAGTGGTTAGAGGTGCTCTGCGTCGCAAACGAGGTCAATGGTTCGATCTCGCGCTTATGGCTTACCAAGCCATCTATCCCTCCGGGGTCGGTAAATTGGTACCAGGCAGGTCTCAGACTTGTCTGGGAGGGTAAGCAGCACTGACTCGGTTCAGCGGGAGGCCACCGCGAGTCATTGTAAAGGTCAGATATGCATTCAATCACCTCAAACGAAGTTAAAAATTGAAGTTGAATGCATGGCGCATCCCTCAGGGATTGATCAACGCCGAGAGCTTTATCCTTTTTATTAGAAGGTGATCTAAAAGAACATCTCCAAATTATATACATTACATTCGAAATGTGGAGTGGTATGCAAAACGGTGGTTCTCGAGCGGAGGTCGAACCTGCGTCTCTTAGCGAGGGCGCGCGCTAACCACTGCTCTATCGGTACTCTACTATGCTATCACTCTGCATCATCACAAACTGTCCTTCTCTTTATCTAAACCTTACGCAAGGTTGGTACTTCTTTTTTCTGAAAACCCGATGGCTAACGTTTCCGCGTCAACGCTTTTGTCAGTGACTAAACGCTTATATCATACCATATCGTTTTACTCGGTTAATCATAACTTTCGTTTCGAGTGTTTTCTTGAGACCACAGCTCAAATTTCAATATGCGTGGTAATTATTTTTGAGTCACGCATGTCAGTGGTCTATCAAAGATGGCTGACTTATAGGCTCAAAAATGATTACCAGGCAAACTCGGTTAATATTTCGCATCCACCAAAAATCCAGTAGAAAAGTAATCAACAGTCTAGTCATTCTGGAAATCCAACCTTATTTTGAGTTTTATAAGAGCGGTTCAAAGTTTTTTAATCAAGAGTTTAGAAGTTCCGAAGAGTTCAGAAATTTTAAATAAAGAAAAGGACAGTTCATGAGAATTTTTGCATTTCTTCAATTATGCCGAGGTTTAGAGATAGTCGGACTTTTGAACTTATACATCACAGTTTTCTCGGCACTAATTCTGCCTTGAGGTCTGACACCCAACTCTGTTAAGACTCCAAAAATGTACAAAAAGGTTTGCGTCAGCCGGGATTTGAACCCAGATCTTACTCCTTCCGGGAGCATGTGCTAAACCGTTGCACCTCCGACGTCGGTTTAGCATATGCTCCCGGAACGAGTAAGATCTGGGTTCAAATTTCAACTGACGCAAACGTTTTTGCAACCCCACTCTACATCATTGGGTTTATTTAAACATCATAACACCGCAATCGGCGGTCAAATAAAGATGGTTTCCGACTTCAAAAATGTCTTAGCTAACAGGTAGCCACCTCTTTATACTTCTATACTTATTTGAGGTATTCGCAGTTCTCATGCCTCTACCAGTATCATTCCGTCCGTCCTCTCATTGTCATACTTTGAGATGCTCTGATGCGGATGTCGGTTCATCTACTACTTGAGCGTGTATCAACTCACTATTTCCGCATTCACTGCTTTCTGATAGAACGATATGCAAAACATAGGAATACTTCAGGAGGGAGTTGAACCCGCGTCCATACATACCAGCACTACATGTGCTGGCACTACACCACCGAGGCTACCGCTTTACTATCGCTCTTTTGATATATCCCATTGTAAACATCCTATCGTGCCTAACGAATCAGAAAAAATCCAAAGTGAAGATTTTTCAAAAAATTCTGGACACAGGCAGACCATACAAAATCCAACAACTTTCAGCCTATGTGGGTGTTTCGTGCCCGATATGCGCTTACCGGACCTAGCCCGTTAACAATTAGTTACTGGCAACTTCGATGGTTTACATCGAACTCACTGGTGCAGTGGGGTAGCACGCGTCCCGCTAGGGGTAGAACCCGTGTTCAACTTCACTCCTGGGGTCTTCGAATGATCTGCATATCACTCAGCATTCTTAGATGTGTAATTACAACATAATGACACTGCTGAAAAGCTTTTTGGATAAGCTCTTTCTTTTCACCGATATCGAAACTTCCATTCAGTAAGCTTCAAGCTTCCGTTAATTTGAAACCAGACCCAGTTCACTTCGTTCAGCCCCCCCTCCCCCCCCCCCCCCCTTTCCCCTTCCGCCAAATCCTTCACTGCATGTCGAGCATTGCTGCTAATCAAACTGTCATTGTGGTCGATTATCGGGGAGCGAATGAATATTCGACCTCATTTGCCGAACAAGATATTTTCATGAGAACGTTAGTAATCATTTGAAAGCTTAAATCTCTGGCTAGTGCGCTACATGGCCGTTTTTCAGAAAAATTCTATTCATAACACCTCAGCATTCAGAATAAGATTATGTTTCATAGCACCCCACCTGCTTTTTTTTCTTTCGCTTATATTTCAACGGACAAAACTCTTCCTTCAAACTACTAGCAATCTTTCAATAGTTCAAGTCTAAAGAATTCATCAATGTGTTTGCCTTTTGCAAAAGATTTTTTACGCTATAGCACGAAGAAAACATTTATACTTTACAGACGCGTTTTTTCTCGCAAGACAGAGCTCTTTCTACAGGTCATTAGTAATCATTCGATCGTTTAACATTCAAGGATTCTGAAACTATGCTTATTTTCTGGAAACACCTTTTTTTCTGCAGTGCAGCAGGGAAATAAGATCGATTCACGTACGCGGGCATGTGTTTTTCGGCTAGCGTGTAGGCGGGGGACGGGGCGCAATGAGTTTCAAACACCGCTATCGATTGGTGGTACTGAGGCGGCTCACGTGTAAAGTGCGATTTTTGTTATTCACTCAAGAATTTTATCTCTGCTTCAGAAGAAACTACAGATTAAACATATGACTCTGTTACTACAAGATCTCCTCTACGCGTTCATATGTCTTCCGTTCTTCCACCAAACTATAAGCGTGCTAAATATGAAGGCGCGCGGCGAGTGTTAAACGTAATTTTATTTAATAATATAGCGTTATAAAAGGGTCTTATTCGAAAAAATAGTCACGTAAGTAGCTCGAGATCTAAACTATCTAATGATTACTAACACTCGCATGAAAGTTCTTGTCGAGCGATTGCGGTCGAGTATTCATTTGTGCCCGGATAACCGAAAAGAACCTCATTGTTTTCAAGTGAATGGCGTTCAGCAATGTATCGATACATAGCAGCTTTCGACGATCCAGAACTGTCGTGAAGCTCGGAGATAGCCTGGAAAACTATTTCTGGGTATGGAGAAAGAGGTCGAGGGGGCGAGCCACCTTGACAACCCTCATTAGGCTAGTTTCAACATCAATAGGAGTCTTGAAGTTAGTAGGAGAAATAGGAAAGCTATAAAAGGAATATGTATCTATAGAGCGTTACCACCAGACCAAGTAGCGAGGATTGAAGAATCGAAAGAAGCTTACTGCCTACACTGATTCCTTCAAATCAACAGCGATTTCTGTGGGTGCAAAGAATTCTGGGAACTAGTCTCGATCGAATTCACGGATGAGTAATCAACTGACTACCTATCTCTTTATACTGTTCACTTACTGCGACACTTACATGGCCCGTCTTGACTATTAATGATGGCCACAAGACATGTTCTCGTCATTTCCCTCTTTCCATGGGCACGTGCGACGCAGTGCTCAAAGACACCTAGTGACAAGTGTAGTCGATGGTTCGATCCCGCTTTGGAAGCTCACGAAGCCTTTCATCCTTCCGGATCGTAAATTATCATCAAACTTACCTGGGAGGATAGCAGCACTGATTTGATACTTTGGTAGGCCAACGGTAAAGGTCAGATATGCGTTCAATCACCTCAAACGATGCTTCAGTCAATGCATGGCGCCCTCTCCAGGGGTGATCAACGTCAAAAGCTCTGTTCTTTTTTTTTTCTTAGCCTCTTATTTTTTCTCAAGAAAGGAACACTACTTATGCATGACGATCACGATGACCAACGGAGTTTGATCTGATGTTGAGCATAATCAAAATTCCCTTGAATTGCTCCGTTTATTGAAAGTATTTGAGTTCAAAACTGTCACTGAAGAACTCTTTTAGAATGTCTGGAATCGTTGCCAGAATCGTGGCTGCTGGTGCGTCTTATTCTCAGTCACTCCTACGAGCTCATAGTCTTCGAATGCTGGATTCTAACGCGGGATATAAGGTACGGAGAGAATTCACCAGTAGTTCCTTTACAGCGATACGCACTTGTGAACTCATCAACAAAATTACTGTTTTTATCTAACCGCTTTTTTTAAGTAGTGACATGATATCATAAATATAGATGCGGTGTTGTTAAGTGGTACAATATGTTAAAGCTTGGGCTGGAGTTGAATCCGTTTCTCATCCTCTCCGAGTCTCGTGCTAATCGTTGAACACGCCCCGAGAAAGCATGAGATGCGGGTTTAACTCCCGCCCGAAGTTCAGAGTTCAGTATTATCAAATGATATAGTTATATTATCATGAAGACTCTGGTCGAAATTCTTACTATTGCTAGAAGAATCGAAACATTGCGGATTTCGTGTAATCCGACGTGATATCCTTGATATTTTGAAGATCTACTCGATATATGAATCCATTACCTTCTTTATCATTGATTTCGATATTTTCAAGCCTCAAGTCTTCTTAATACTAAACATTCCTGTAGTCCGCAGCCGATACACTAGGACTCCCAAGCAATTGTCTCCGGACCCCATCTTTTGTTGTTTTCGATTCAATCACTAGAAAGTTATAATTATCAGCTAAGCTAGGCTTTTTCTGTGTTGTAACCTACATTGAAGGTTTTAGAAGTGTTAAAGAAGTGCTGAGGAGCTTTTTTTTTTAATTGCAACCATAATCCCATAAACTTTATCTCTACTATAGGATATATTACATCGGTGCCTCCAAGTGGCTAGCGATACTTATACTGTTGTCCACTTATGGTTTTACAATTCTTAAACATAATAAGTTCTATGATGCCTCAATGAACAATCAAAATTACTTCTAAAGTCTGATGAACAATGACTAAGTATAAGATCTTAACGAGCGAGTGTGGTACGATAGTTAGAGGTACTTAGCGGCACACGTGGTCGATGTTTCGATATGCACTTATGATTCACCAAGCCTTCTACCCCTTTGGGCTCGGTGGATTAGTACCATATTTCTCTGAGAGAACAGCAGCACTGACTTGGTGACTGCGAGTTATCGTAAAGGCGAGGTATGCACTCAGTCACCTCAAACGATGCTAGCTGAAGATGAACAACGCATGGTGCATCACTCAGGGATTGATCAATACCATGAGCTGTATCGTTCTTTTAGCTTTATCAAGATTTGATGAAAAATAGTATTTTGTATGGTTTCAGGTAAAATCTCGTTTAAAGCTGAGATGTCACAGCTGTTATTTCATTCGTGTCAACGGTCGTATGCATGTTGAATGTAACGCGCATCCACGTCATAAACAGAAAGAAGTTTTCAACGTCAAGTTACTTTGGTAAATGATGTATTTGTTGTTCGATGTAGAGATAATGCTTTACTTTGTACGTATTCGTATCGCTTAGTTTCTTTTGTATTTGTTATCCGCTCTTGTTAAAAACATCCAATAGATATTTGCGAATTTTGTACACTGAACAATGTGATTACAATCTTGCCTAGATTTCAACATATAACAATCAATTCTTCTTCTCTCCGTATTTGTTCGATATACCTTTTGAATCGAAGAAGTCTCTGGAATAATGAGAAGCAATGATGAAAACAATTAAAAGTCAAATCAAAAAAGAAAGGAAAAACCAAATGAAAAACTACGAGATTTCTCCGTCCTTGTGCATCTGTACCAATATATCACATCCTCCAACAAACTCTCCTTTGACATACACCTAAACATAATAGGTGTAAAGTTGGGTTCTCTACGAAAACATTTGTAACGATATGAGTACTTTTTACACACGTGTTTAGAGATGAAGTGGCCGCTATGAATTGATCTCAACTCTTTCTCTTCTCAGTGGTTTATCTCACCTCACATAGTTTTTCGGCCTTACTTTTTGCATCCAGTTGCTATCTTAACAATCACAAATGTCGTAGCGGGTATCATTACTTACTACTCTCAACTGCTCAGGTCACTTTATACAGGATGATTACCGAGGATAATATCACTGGATGCAGAGAATCATGCAGCTTAGACAAGACACGATGCCTTTTGGAAGATACATACTGCCAACAGTGGATTGGACAAGTGTTGGATGGACTTCTCGTAGCTTCAGTGATTTTTTCCCTGTTTCACAACAGATAAGGGCTGTCATTCAAATTGAAAAGATGTAATCTCACAGAAGAATTACTACCAGCGCCGATTAGGGCTGATGAACATTTATGGGACCTCGTTGTTCTTTAGTGCCGTTCTTTGACTTTCCACTTCGGAATTTTCGTTTCGTATCGTTACTCTGTATTGCACAAAATTTCTTTGATTAAAGACAAAACTTCGAGGTCGGTAGGTTACATGGATTATACTCAACTCATGGTGCACCTCGAATGCTAATCTGGTTCCATTCATATCCTTTTTCAATTGTTTATTACTTCGTAGAATCTTTCTTACCAAACATTATGTTTTATCTAGAAGGATTATAAAGAGGAACAACTCTGATTTGACCAACACTTTCCTAGTCTGTCGAGCAGACGTGA